AGATAGAATATAAGATTGAAGGCGATAGAATATAAGATTGAAGGAGATAGAATATAAGATTGAAGGAGATAGAAGATAAGAATGAAGGGGATAGAATATAAGATTGAAGGAGATAGAATATAAGATTGAAGGAGATAGAATATAAGATTGAAGGAGATAGAATATAAGATTGGAGGAGATAGAATATAAGATTGAAGGAGATAGGAGATAAGATTGAAGGAGATAGAATATAAGATTGAAGGAGATAGAAGGATAAGATTGAAGGAGATAGAATATAAGATTGAAGGAGATAGAATATAAGATTGAAGAAGATAGAATATAAGATTGAAGGAGATAGAAGGATAAGATTGAAGAAGATAGAATATAAGATTGAAGGACATAGAAGATAAGATTGAAGGAGATAGGAGATAAGATTGAAGGAGATAAAATATAAGATTGAAGGAGATAGAAGATAAGATTGAAGGAGATAGAATATAAGATTGAAGGAGATAGAATATAAGATTGAAGGAGATAGGAGATAAGATTGAAGGAGATAGAAGATAAGATTGAAGGAGATAGAAGGATAAGATTGAAGAAGATAGAATATAAGATTGAAGGAGATAGAATATAAGATTGAAGGAGATAGAATATAAGATTGAAGGAGATAGAAGATAAGATTGAAGGAGATAGAATATAAGATTGAAAGAGATAGAATATAAGATTGAAGGAAATAGAAGATAAGAGTTAAGAAGATAGAAGATAAGATTGAAGAAGATAGAATATAAGATTGAAGATGATAGAATATAAGATTGAAGGAGATAGAAGATAAGATTGAAGGAGATAGAAGATAAGAGTTAAGAAGATAAAATATAAGATTGAAGGAGATAGAATATAAGATTGAAGGAGATAGGAGATAAGATTGAAGGAGATAGAATATAAGACTGAAGAAGATAGAATATAAGATTGAAGAAGATAGAAGATAAGATTGAAGGAGATAGAATATAAGATTGAAGGAGATAGAAGATAAGATTGAAGAAGAAAGAAGATAAGATTGAAGGAGATAGAATATAAGATTGAAGGAGATAGAATATAAGATTGAAGGAGATAGAATATAAGATTGAAGGAGATAGAATATAAGATTGAAGAAGATAGAATATAAGATTGAAGGAGATAGAATATAAGATTGAAGGAGATAGAATATAAGATTGAAGGAGATAGAATATAAGACTGAAGAAGATAGAATATAAGATTGAAGAAGATAGAATATAAGATTGGAGGAGATAGAATATAAGACTGAAGGAGATAGAAGATAAGAGTTAAGAAGATAGAAGATAAGATTGAAGGAGATAGAATATAAGATTGAAGGAGATAGAAGATGAAATAAAAGCAGATAGAAGTAACCTCCTATTAACCTTGCTGATCAATTTTAAGATTTTGGAGAACTATAATAAGTTACTCCATCTGTGATTGTAAATCTATCAAATTGACAACAGGTGTCAGGTGAAATGTACAAATACTAGATCCTCGCTGCACTAAATCTAAATCAGTAACCACACTCTATATGACAGGGAACAAAAATAAACAGAAGCAGAAGAAAATAGAAAGAATAAACGTAATAAAAATTGGGTGTATAAAAAGAAAAAAAAATCAATATGAGATATGAGATATACCATAAATGCAAAATAGGTACAATATGCAGATATGAATTTTAGTCTGTATTTAAATAAAGAACATTAACCTGTCACTCTTTGAACTTGTCACTTGTGTGGATATAACGTGACATAATTTACTGTTTTAAAAGTCGGATTTTAAAATTCAGACGACAATCGTGCAGGTATACAGTTGATATTGTGGTCTCTATTGGTATTTCAGGTAAGATACACTAATTTTATACATTTACAGAAAGAATTCTGATACGGCTGAATATACATCTTAAACGGATATTGTCATCTTGATTTTTGGCACTAGCAGAGCTCAATTTCAGCTCTCCTAGCTTGTCACCACTCTGGATGAAAAATCTTGGTCTGTCCATTTTAATAAGCGTACCGTTGGTTACAACACACTTAATAATTATGTAATTTGTACTACATTCAATGTTACAGCTGCACGTAGTAGTAGTATAAATTAATCACGATGTTGAATCGCTGTTGCGTTTTTCTGTGATTGTGGACGAACCAAACGACGTATTTACATTCTAAAATGTATTGCTATCTTTTGGAAAAGCAAAAGGCAAGATTATCACCTTAAACCTTTAAATAATATTCTTTAAGTGCCTTAAATCTTTTCCAACTTACTTACCTATTAGGACGCCATTAATAACATACAGTGCCGAGGATGGCAGCATTTTTGGCAGCCTCCCCCCTCCCCCTTTCTCTCTCTCCCCCATCCAAAGTTCTCTTGTAGCCACTGTCATACTTTGTGCGAGAGTTGCAAGAAATAAGCACATCGTTTCTTTTATGCGCGTTTAATTATCTTGTACAAACATATATTTATTTATATGGAGATTTACTTGATCTGTATATCATTTAGATAGTTAATGACACTTCTGTATGTCTTGCCTTGACAGCATGTTTTTATATGACAAAGTCCTTCCCATAAAGTGAGGGTATAAAATATTATTTTTTTTTCTTTTTCTTTGTTTTTTTTTAACTTGTTTTGCTTATACGGATATTTATGCTACATCTCTATGTTCAGAAATTTCGACATTTTGGTTTTAATAGTTGAAATATTCTTACAATGAATTTGAAATGACTGGTATTGGTTTTTGATCACTCCATTACAGATATTAATGTTAATTAAATTACTATTTTTGACATAAAAAAAAATAAAAAATAAATAAATACACACAACCTAGGATTATAGATTGATACTATTAAATACAAATTCAAATACCATGTTTGAGAGAAACATTATTAGTTCTTTTTTTTTAAAAAAAAAGTGAAATAATTCTACTATTGGTATAATTCCAGGATGAAAACGTCGATTGTTATTATCGGAACCATTCTGTTAGCACTTTGTGGACTAACATTGTCGCTAGGTAATTTCTATTTAGTTAAATTGGAAGGCAGTTTTGCTGTTACATCTGATCCACTTCAATATAATTATGACAATGCAGTTTTATTTATCTCTAGAAAAGATAGCCCGAAATTCTTGTAAAAACTACGGAATTGTACGAAGGAGAGAAACCGTACCCCTGAGTTGTTTTGTGGTACAGTGTGGGGTACAGGAACTCCCATGAAAAGGGAATAAGATGCCTGGCTCTGATCGTGCAACTTATTATCCGTCAAGCGGGATTCTATATGCTATATATGCTATTAAAACATATGATGTTTATCTTTCCTTTTAAGGTGCAGCACGACCGAGAGATCCTGATTTTTTCACGATGTTTGATCGAATGTTGCAACCTGGTGGCGAATTGTACAATATGATGCGACCTGGGGGTATTTTACACAACATATACAAGGAATTCAAGGCCTCCAACAGCAAATCAGAGTTAGTTAACATCGGAGATCAACTGAATAGAGCTATATTTCCCATGTCACCAAACGGACGTACGGGAGCAGCACCACAACCTTACTAATCTCTCTCATTGAAGAGTTTCATTTGTTTTTTCATTTTCAAAATAATTAAAATCCGTTTTAGTGATATCTTTGTAGTAAAATATTCCTTTATCCTTATAATATGTCACATCTTTTTCCCGTCGTTGCTTCACTTCATACAAACCAATGGAAGTGACGGTGAAAAAAAGCGCCAAGGCTCTTTAAGGGTGGCTTTTTGCACTGTTATAGAACTTAATTTCAGAAAACCAGACGGAAGATAACAGTTGACAGTTATAATGATTCTCCCGAACAGTTTTAAAAATATACAACCAAGCATTATTGTGCAAAGAGTAAAATAAAATAAAATGTGAACAGTGGAAAGGGTAAATTTAATACTCCTTACAAAATTACAATTCACTATTCAAACTCACGATTTACATTACAAGCTACCCTTACATACTTATGTCATTTTATACCGAAAATCAAGGATAAAATGAATAATAGTCCCTATTGAATTGGTTGACAGCCACACAAACATAGCTAAATACAGAGTAATCCACTTGTCGAATCGTTAAAACTATACTGTGAATTTCATCCTCAAATGACGTTACAACAGTGTAACTTGTACCATTGCTTATTGTCTGTCCATGAGGGTCGTTCTTTCTAAACGACATGGTAGGTGCAGGATGTCCTCTTGCTAAACATGTCAAGGTGAACTGCAAAAAAATAATAATAATAATAATAATTAAGACTGGTGGTGACAATGATAATCGTAATGAAGACTATGACGACGATGATGACGATGCTGAAGCTACCACTGTTTATGCTGCTGCTGATGACTAAGAGGAACATTGGATAAATAGCATTACTACGATGATGATTATAATTGTGACGCATAACAAATGACGACGAATTTACAACGATGATGATAGCAATGATGAATGATGAATGTGATGATGTTTCTATGGATATGACAGTGATAATTTCAGTATCGAGGTGATGATATCAATATGATAGTCATGATATTAATAAGATACTATTAATATATTACTATGATAGTAACAGTATCGATATGGCAGTGATGATATCAATATGGCAGCGATGACATCAATATGATATAGCAGCGATGATATCACTAATATATGTAAGTGGTGATATCAAAATCAATATGATAATGCAGTGATGGTATCAATATGGTACTGATGATATCAATATAACAGCGACAAGATCAATATGACAGTAACTATATCAACATCAATAGGACAACGATGATATCGATGTGACATTGATGATATCAATGTGGCATTGATGGTATCAATATGACTGTGGTGATATCAATACGACAGTGACGATATCAATATCAATAGGACAGTGAAGATATCAATTTCAATATGACAGTGGCGATATCAATATGACTGTAGTGATTTCAATACGACAGTGGCGATGTCAATATGACTGTGACGATATCAATATCAAATGACATTGACCATATCAATACGGCACCGTATCATTGTATAATGCTGATTTCGGAGGTAAGCAGATGCTGGTAACTTACTCCATAAACTTCCCCGTCTTCAAAATCAACCAGACTTGATTCATCATGTAAAATATTTACAGGTTTCCTGGAAAATAATTCAATACCAATACTCGTTGATACACCAACAGTGTTCCTAGCCTCACATCTGTACAGTCCTTCGTGTTCTTGTGTCATTAAAGGGATGGTAAAATGTGCCAGTATCCCGTACTCGTGATGCCTAACGATCTTGGAAAACAAGGTAACGTTTTGGAAATTTGTAAAATTGTCATTGCGATACAAAGTAATATCTGAAGGATAGAACCCAACAACTTCACACGTAATCACACAAGACTCCATATCCAAACAATCGGGGTATTTGGATTGATGTTGATTAACAAAACCCAATACATTCTCATCATACGGTTCGGTATATATTCTCTCTAGAACCGGAAGTGTTAGTTTGTACACTATGTGATCTAATGGTACACCGTGGTTGGTGCTTGCAAACAAAACAGACCATATCAGAGTACCATCAAGCCGCTGTTGATCTGTTGACAAAGCGTAGAGGATGTTGGTGGTATTGTTTTCTATTCGTTTATCTATATACACAATAGGTGGATTGAACGTCCTCTTCATTTTCCATTGATGGTAGACCTGTATGGCCGGTTGTTCTTGAGAATAATCAACAGTCAACAAAGACCAGTTGATTTCCATTTCAAAATCTGGATCTTTGCTTGGGTGAATTAGCAGGTTTCCAGGTAGGATGCTTCCAAATCTGTATCTCAGATCCGACGGTTCAGCTGTTACCTGTTTTGATGGTATACAAAATGTAGTTGTGTTGGTCACATCATGATGGTGGAAGTAGTATATTCTAAGGTAATTGTGTAGGACCACCTCCAGTTTGACAGTCTCAGTAGAATTGGTAGTGAACAAAGATGTACCATTGGATCCTTCGGGATCCAAGGTCTGATGATCATCTGAAACAAATTTGACATTTTATTGTGTTTTATTTGGTGTTGAGACGTATATTTAACTGTCAAAGGAACGAAGTGATGTGATTCGCGGAAGATACTTGATACTGTGTGCATGTGGTGTTTGGTATGACGAAGTCTCCATAGTCTTTGTTGATCATAGAATCGATTTCTCACAATTGAATTAAAATGTATGAAGTGACTCTAGATCATTATTCACATTCTCATTATTTACAGTTACTGCATGAGTATGTCCACTAGTTAGTTAAAGCATTAGTGCCTGAAAAAGAACCCTACCCTTCTTTGCTATGTCTGCTTCATACCAGATAAGCTGAACTCTTCCAACATCAGAATAAGTAAATACCACACTATATTGTGCTGTAATGTTATTTTCCAATCTGGTTATTGATAACTCTAATGGACTAACATCAGCATTGCATTTGACCTTTAAAAAAAATATAATAAAGATTGGTATGCTCAATAGCAGGCTTCTCGTCTTTTCATGACAGTCACATGCAATGTTATAGAAAAGGTCGATAAGTTGTTGCCGAAGTTTATAAGCATTTTCAAAATCAAGAAATTGGATTCTAATAAAGCAAATCGTTTGGATCACAATCGGTATTTCTTTACAGTACTAATGTTCGTACTTACCATATTTAACAAAGTAATTCCAAACAATACCCGTAGAAAATTGTGCACAAAATTTCGTTGGAGCATTATTCCTATTCCGTGTCGCACCACGATATAATGTTTGGATGTAAAAAGTCTACTGACATAGTTTCGATGTAAATTGATATACATTTTTATCTGATATAGGAAACTGAATTACGCAATTGGTAAGGTTGTCGCTATTATGAACTTGTATCATTGTAACTTAAACTAACATTATAGAGGAAATTATCGGGAGTGATTCTTCACAAGCACAAGTCGTATGCCTTTTTCTATCTCTTTGAAAAAATAAAATAATATGGAAATCTGGGTCCTACCTTATCGAATTGAAAACAATAGTCTAAAACTTATATATCAAGTTGTAGCCTTTAAAAGCCAACGACTGCAGAAATACAAGAGACTAAGCTATTACTGATAATTTAATCATGCAATTATACACGCAGAATAAACATGATACGATACTAACTAGTGCATAACATTTTCTCAAGAGTTGATTCATGAGCCAAACTGATGGAGATCAGACGCAGCGAACAACTCGTATATCGAAATACGCAGTGGACTGGTATATTGGCACTAGCAATGGTCCTTTTGGCATGCCAAAAGAATCTACCTAGGAGAGATAATCCAACTCCTTTGGTCAAACTTAACCTAGCACTGTGTATATATCTACCTAAAGAAATTCAGATATCACATTTTTGGAGCAGGATCGTCAAAAATAAATTGCCAGAATTCCAGAGTAGAAAGTCTAAAGATGATTTTTTTTCTAGGCATTCTTAACTATCATCATTATTTCAGCTACTCTACGAGCTTGTTTGAATTCCGACTTTACTACTTCGTCATATCGCTTTAAAACAATTTCTTCACCATTTAATATCAGTTCTTGATTTGTCATCCTAGATCTACCCCACTCAGTGTTAAAAGATATGACCCAGCGACTTATTTTCTCGCTGGTTTCAGTTTTGACCATTTTAAAACGTGGTTGAAACTCGATAGTAGTTAGTCGGATTTCAGGGTAGGTGGTCAGTAAGCGATCGACGGCCTTTTTCACTTCAAGATGTGTAGGTTCAATACCAAGACTAGAGAAACACACGGCCTTGGGTTTAAGATCTGGTGGTTTCATGTCTTTTATTGGAACGATATTTTGTCGGGTTTGTAGTTGTTTGATAAGTTCGTCTGTTTCATTGAATTCTTCTTTAATTTCATCTTCGACTAATTGTCCGAAACTTCTGAAATGATAGAGACAATAGGTTTAGTTATTGGCTTGATTCCATCCTGCCATTTTCCTATCCATTTTGTACATCAAACTCGGTGTTAAGTTATTCACTTTTAGCATGTACACGTACGTGTATCTTAAATCTGAAATCTGTTTATGCACAATCATTTCTTCAGCTAATTTAGATTTCTCGCTAAAAGCTTCTCCTTAGTAGACAAAACTTTTTGTGAACAAATAATGAAGCTATCCTCAGATAAAACAGTAACAAAGATATCTTCAGACGGTTTAATAGCCAGCTCATGTAATCCTACGAGCTGTCTTCAGTTCAAGAGTGGGAAGGTACAATTTTCCCGACATTGCCGGACCAATCTATGTCAACGTATTCAACATTATGACAAAAAGAGAGGCCACTTACCGTTTCATGTTCCTCATTGATTTTCTGAACCCAAGACGTAGTAGATTGCTCTGTAATCGTTTTGGTAATTTTTCTAGAACTCTCTGAGTTTCCCTTGTACAATCTTTATTCTCTGGTGCTGGGTCTTCGGTTTTCTTGTGATGATTCCCTGATTTGCCCTCTGTTATTCTGTTCTTCAAGGTCTTTAATCCCAGAGGATCATCTTCCTCATCTTTGATTTGTAAGGATTTCAATTTGTCTGCCAAAGTAGACGGTACCTCTATTGCGGATCTGGCCTCCAAATTTGGGTTAGTCACCTTCCTTATAATCTGCCATTGACTTGCGGTCGGCATTTTGGCAGTCTAATAAGCTTGTAATCAAAACAAAATATAACCGACCGTTTTTCTGTAAATAATTATTCACATTAGAATAAATGTCAAGTGTAGTATTGTTCTCGGTGACAAAAATGGTCCCATTGTTCACTTTAAAATATATCTCTTAGAGGATTTACAATTGTGTTACTGGTTAGCATACAGTTCCCATTAAAAGTCACAGAATGGATATGTTTTCAATATTTCTTTCATATATCACCGAAAATCAGAAACCGAGAAACAGTATTTTATCTTCTCAGCTCTAAAGACCAACTGACTAATAGTCGAATATAAAATCATCACGTTTCGTGTGGAAGAGTCATAAATATTTGATTGGAAGAATGAGATTAAAAAGGTCAATAATAACCAAGTAAGCTAAGATTTGTTATCCTCTTACGTTTCTCTTTCATCTCTTATCAGACATATACAATAGAGATTTTCTATCCCTGTTATACCCCAACATCCACCTTTCTACAGCATACACTAAACAATTATGATATGGACTTACAGTAAAGTGTTTCAGAAAGATTTAAGTTTCTCTCAGAGTATTTCATATATTGTAGGCTATGGCTACCACCTGTCTGCACCATAGCCTGATTTCTTAGGGGTAAGCCTATAATTCCAGCAAAAATGATGAGAACTGCAGAATGCTCTAGAAAATGGAGTTTGATACAGGCAGAAGCATGAAGACCTGCACCTGTCCATGATCTGGGTTACCCGGTACTTAACTCCGATACTGCTAAAGCAATGCCAGTCGTTACTTTCCAAATAGGCGTTATTTCGTGGTGGATTACATGAAGCCTGAACATAACGGAGATTGCCTGATAATAGGTATTGAAGTCTTCATTAATTTAGGTTGGCGTTCTACGCTGTATCAACAATATAATTTGATTTTAATTATTCATCCAATATATAGTCTGACTTCAAGATTTAGAGGCCTAATTATTCTTAGAGATGCTAATTAATACACAACGTCGGCTACACCATTCTCGGCAGTATCCGTAAGCTGCATCTGTTGCAGAGCGCTAGCGTAACTTTTACGAAGGCCGTTATTTGAGTCGGCTACTGTTTCAATGATGTTATCCTAAAAAAAAGCATTTGCCAGTGATCTGTGGGCATAGAGTTATATATAGTTCTTATTACTACACTAACTCAATGTCTGTGGGCAAGATTTAATTGGGCAATGTACCCGTCGAATTTTCGGATTAATTTACATTGTTTACGTGTTTTGTCTTGTATTCGATTGTGAAAAGACGAAGGGACATAACTCTATCCACAAAATGGCTGCCCCCTGTGGATAAATTTTAATTTTTCTTGAGGAACTCATAGATTTTAATACAGTAAGTGACAGGAAGACAAAGTAGACCAGATAAAATGAGAAAACATGAACCTGTTTGATGCTCACATTTTTTGATTATATCAGTGGTATTGTGAAACGACGGTTGAATTGATTTACGAGTCTACAGTGGCTCGGTGACAGAGTAGGTCACCTCGGCACCGGTCACCTCTTGTATTTGATTTTTTTCCCCCTTAAGATTTACTCCTCTTATTTGCAGGATTTGGTAAAATGTTGAATGCAATAAAGTTTTCAGCTTTAAGCTCACAGAAATTGTTTCAATCAAATTCAAAGGTTTTGTATAGCTGCATTGAAATGTTAAAATCGAAATTACTGAGTGATAACAATGTTGTAAGAGATTATTCATCGACCAAAACACCATACTCTCCGGATGAGTTTGATACACCTTCTCCATATAAACGTCCAGGACCCAGAGATTATGGCTTTGAAACAAAACTGCGAACGGGAGGTATGTATGTTCTGTCTGTTACCGGTACTGATAAGGGTTGCGGTTGAAACGGCTTACAGTGGTTTCCCCCCTTTACAAGTTCCTCCCATAGTGGTTCCCCCCTTTACAATTTCCACCCTAGTGGTTCTACTATTATTCTTAGCAAATAGCAAACAAGAAGGGTTTAATTAATGACAATCATTAAAATATGACAATTACCCAATTAAAAAAGTTGATAACTGTAAATTATTGTAATTAAAAGATTAATTAAGGTACCTCCACATAGTCTTTCTTTTCTCACACATCACATGAGAACTGGTTTTACCTCACTTTAATTTGTGACAGGTCTATGTGAGAAGTACTTCATCCTGTGTCAGTGACTTCTTGTGAAGAATAACTTGTTATCTTTCAACCACCTAATCTCTAATTTGTGATGAATTTAACTAATTTAATGAAAAGATTCAATTTTGTTGCAAAGCCGTATTGGATTATATTGAAAGTATATAAGATAAATTACTATTAATACACCTGTATCACATTTCCTATGACTTTTTTCACCTCAAATCATGGCATGCCTTGGTCTTACAAAAATATTGCAATTTCAACACAATTCAGCAATGTTGAAGAAGTCAAATTTGAATAGAGTTAGATAAAATGTTATATCTATCTAAGAATAACAATGCAATTTATTCCATTGCTTCCTGATTATCACAATAATTGATAAAGATTAACAGGTTTTTAATTAGTTTATTATGAGTTAATTAGGGGAGGAAACCACTGGGGGGAAACCACTAGGGAGGAACTTGTAAAGGGAGGAAACCACTACATGCCATTGAAACAACATTATGAGGTTTGTAGATTGAGTGATTGGCTTATATAAGAAAATGACAGCCATGCCATGTTTTAATGTGCCAGCATCCTGTCTTGATATATAAAAGAAAATAAACAAATTCTAGGCTCATACATGTATCAATGTCAGTTTTGCTATTATAATAAGCTTATATTATGTATATTATGACAGGTATGTTAGCAAGAGGTGTGAAAAATAGTAGATTGAAGTATAAACCAAAAAATAATTGGTCTTCAGAAAAAGCTTTATTCGGACAAAATGATTATATAGGTATTATTTTTTTCATCTAGCTAAAGATTATTAAAATAAACTGTAACTGCCACATAGGAAATAGTTGAATTTGCATTTAACTTCTACTAGCTGATGGAATTTGACTATGGAGCATAATCTTTGTCTCTTGAAAATCACATATTTCGTATGTATTAAATTGAATGTATATTTTTTCACAATTTTGGCTCACTTTTCAATGTGCAGTGTTGTAATAGTACCCATATTGTCCACTTAGAAATTTTCCAAAACTGCTATAGAAGCCTTGTATATTTTCAGATATACTGGGAGATGAAAATATCAGACCTGTTGATTTGATTCAAGGGCCTAAGTGGGTGGTTGGCTTTAATGGTAATGAGTTACAGAGAATAAGTCGAAGATTAAGATTGGATGGCAAAAAATTAAAATTAGAGAAACCAACTGTTCATAAAAATCTCAATAAAAGACTATGGTATTTATATAAGAAATACAATTCTCACCGAGTATCAAAATATAAATAAACTGGAACATAAGATTACAGTAATAGCTTGTGGTTAATTTTAAAAAGTGCTTGAATATTTTCGTGTTTAGAGACACAAATAAAAATCATGTTTTTGAGAGGTTAATTAATTCTTTGTGTCAATAGAGAAGTTTATATGATGAAGTATGAATGTGAAGTAAAATTTAGTAAACAAACTTGTATTTTCTATAAAAAAAAATCTTCTGCTGTATCCACTCAATTCATTGAATACAGTAAGATAAATGCAACCCATTTTTATAAGATTCACATTGACATTACATTCAGCTAAATTTAATAAATTTCATTCAAAAGATGCAAATTTACGCAAGTTCTAAACCATGCTTCATGAATAATTAATCATCGTCATATATCTGATTGGAATTTCTGTATGAGATTCCCCCTAGAGATATTTAATGCCTCGCCCCCCCTTTCTAAGAGGAAAACTGTTCTTGGGAGAAGAAAAAATATATAATCAATAAATTTTACTTTATTTTTCTGGTAGTTTTCAAAATATATACAAAATATGCATAATTTAACTATCTAACTATATACTAGCTAGGTTTTCGGTGAGACATTCAACTTAGTTGACAACAAATACACTTCAAAATGAACAACATGGTCACTTTTAAACATATTAGATGTGTTATTACCAAAAATATTAGCAGTTCTAATCTGGCACCATTCAGTTGCACAAGTTTATATAATATTAAAAAATTAATATATTTATTTCATTTCATCAACACTCTTGCTTTGCTTCTCAAACTGTCTGATGTTTAAATTTTCAAGCTTTTATTTTTTGGGAAAAAGGGTCTATTTCTTTTCTAATTATAGTCAAACTAATAAATCAGTAACCAATGACAGTTTTCATGTCAAAGAGTATGAGTATAAAAAATATCAATTTGAATGGAACGAGCTCCAAACCAATTGTATTTTTGGTATTAATAGCTATGATTTCAACAAAGACAATTTTGATGTACCTTTCATGGAATATGTCTACAGCAAATAGGAAATTAAAAACAAATTTTTTTGCTTTCGGTAAATTGAATATGTGCATAATTTTCATGTTAATTGTACCATCAGTTTCAAAACTAAAAATGACTTTGCTGTAATAAAAATATACTCTCAAATAGACATTTGCTTCTACACAGGGCCATTTCTCAGACAAATTCTCTGACATATTTGATTGAACTTTCTCAGGGAAAAGTGTGTGAATATTAAATGTTAATTTACAAAACTCTTTCCAACAAACACAACTATACATACAAACAAATGTAATCGGGTAATTTGCTGTCCAATAAATGTGGGTTTAATTTGGGTGTAAATTTCCCCCTGAAGTAGGCTTTGAAAATACTTTAATGTATTTGGTGAATATATGTCAAATTAAGTGTCAATATTTTTTCTTCCACTCGTATTGCAAATACTAAAAAAATATTTTGTGCTGCATACACTCCTGACTACTACTAAAAAATCTAACATTTGATTTATAAACAAAAACCATATACTATACAAATAAACATAACAAATATACAAATAATAATAAACAATAATTCAATACTGTATGTATTTTATTAATCTACTAAATATGTATTCGTCGAATTCAACATTTATTACTTGTGTTTGTAATAATTCATCTAGTCTAGCAGAGAACTGTATTACATGTCCTACGAGTCACATAAAAAGTCTTATAGTCTGCTAATTTTCTAGACTCTCGGAATATATGAGTATACTTTAGACAACTTAAATATCAATGATTTCATCAAATATTTTGATATCTTGATCAATATGTCAAATATTTCGGTCCAATACATTAATGTAATAATGAAATATGAAAAGCTTACTTGAAACTCAATAACATGCAAAATCTACAGGCTAATAACTCTGCAATATTCTAATGTATTCTCATTATGATCATATTTCAAATAAACCATAGCACATATTGAATAAAAGTAATTAGGGAATAGTCTTTTCTCAATAAATTATTGAAATTTGGAATGAAGAAGAATGGGTTTTGATTTTGGATTGGGTGATTTCATTTTACTTGGGTACAGTTGGTGTAAAAAAAGTCCTGAATGATAAATCATTGTTTCAAAACCGGAAAAATGTTTTGAGATGCAATGAGAAATCATTGTTTCGAAATCTGATTGATAAATCATTGTTTCGAGACCTGAATGATAAATCATTGTTTCGAGACCTGAATAATGTTTTGAGATTCAAATAAATCATTGTTTAGAAACCTGAATGATAAATCATTATTTCAAGACCTGAATGATAAATCATTGTTTCAAGACCTGAATGATAAATCATTGTTTCAAGACCTGAATCATAAATCATTGTTTCAAGACCTGAATGATAAATCATTATTTCAAGACCTGAATGATAAATCATTGTTTCAAGACCTGTATGATAAATCATTGTTTCAAGACCTGAATGATAAATCATTGTTTCGAGACCTGTATGATAAATCATTGTTTCAAGACCTGAATGATAAATCATTGTTTCGAGACCTGTATGATAAATCATTATTTCAAGACCTGAATGATAAATCATTGTTTCGAGACCTGTATGATAAATCATTGTTTCAAGACCTGAATGATAAATCATTGTTTCGAGACCTGTATGATAAATCATTGCTTCGAGACCTGAATGATAAATCATTGTTTCGAGACCTGAATAATGTTTTGAGATTCAAATAAATCATTGTTTAGAAACCTGATTGATAAATCATTGTTTCAAGACCTGAATCATAAATCATTGTTTCAAGACGTGTATGATGTTTTGAGATTCGAATAAATAATTGTTTCGAGACCTGAATGATAAATCATTGTTTCAAGACCTGTATGATGTTTTGAGATTCGAATAAATCATTATTTCAAGACCTGAATGATAAATCATTGTTTCGAGACCTGTATGATAAATCATTGTTTCGAGACCTAAATGATAAGTCATTGTTTCGAGACCTGTATGATAAATCATTGTTTCGAGACCTGAATGATAAATCATTGTTTTGAGACCTGAATAATGTTTTGAGATTCAAATAAATAAAAAAAATAATTTTTTTAGGACCTGAATGGTAAATCATTGTTTCGAGACCTGGATGATGTTTTGAGATTCAATGGTAAATCATTGTTTCGAGACCTGAATAATCATTGATTTCAGACCTGAATGATAAATCATTGTTTTGAAATTCAATGATAAATCATTGTTTAGAGATCATAATAAAAAATCTAAATGATAAATAATTGTTTTGAGAATCTAATCATAGTTCATTGTTTGGAGATTCAATGATTAATCATTGTTATGGGAATTAAGTGAAAATCCCAGAATCATTGTTTTGAAACATGAACAATTTTCCTCATAGTTTTTTAAATTAAATAAACATCAGGTTTGATACAAATCAAATCATTGCTTCCAATGGTAGCCACCTACTCTGTACAAATCATAAGTGTTTAACACTTAACACTATTACATGTACTTGCAATGTTTACATCCACATTCCCATTATTATGAAGTATGAACATTTCTTTTTAACATGAAAACAATGAATAAATAAACAATACAAATATATAAAACAAAAATTATGGCAATTAAATGAGCATTAAAATGTGGACACACTGACTGTCAGAAAAGAATTTTATTCACAACAAGAAGCCAGTGATTCTGCGCAAAAAAAAGCTACTTTGAAATTTTATACCTGAAATATTTTCTACTACGTTTAATGAACTCTCAAAATATATGTTTATAATTGAGATTCTTTTCATTTCTACAGAAATAATCCAAATAGCAGTATGACCTTTTATTACAATGGTGCCTCATTTAATCAAAATTTGAAAAAATATTATTAGCCTTAGGGCAGTTTGTGGCCAACAGTCAGAATATTGCTGTAAAGACTAATTGTTTTGTAAAATTAAATAAAAAAAGCCAGACTAGTAGTTAAGAGACAGTTGCATTGATAAAAAAAATCTTCAATGTTGTTCCACAAAATAATTTACGTTCATAATTATTTTTAAGTAATTAAGTAAATATCCATATATCTGTATATATGATTTAATAAACCCAAATTAGTTCTCTTAATTAATTGAGAAATTTAAAAATCACCCAAGTATTGGCATAGCATAGTGAACTGTCTTAGAATTAAAAAATACGAAGAATTCCTAATTATTTTCAAAATTCAACCCAGTCAACAGCAGTTACTTTGTATGACACATTTTATACCAAATAATATTCAAATTATAAATATTGAATTAAAAATAAAAGTTTTTTTGTCAAAAATAAAAGGGAATGTAAACAATTTATATATGACACATTCAGATTAGCAATTTAATGCAAAAATAAATAAACAAAAATAACAATACATTATAAATATCATGGAAATAATAAATATTTGATTTAAAAAAACTCAAATTTATCACATATATTCCTTCCATACATGGCACAGAATAAAACTGAGGCTTTTCTATACTCCACCATTTGGTCAAGTTTTTAAAAATTTTATTTACAAGTTTGTGGGATATATGATCACAACCATAATATTTCACTATTTCCCCGTTTCATCATATATATTTTCTGAAAAAAATATCTCAGTCAAATTTCCATGGTTCATTTTCTATACATCATACAAAATTATGATCTCTGTAGAAACAAAATCATACCAATGTACATGAGGCATATAGAAACAAGATTTATGTAGAAACAAGATAATGGCCTGTATGCACCAAATGAAATTAAGCCTAAATTAATTATATTCTGCCCGAATAACATTAACTTTTAATTTAATTCTATATTTTGTAGAATTACCTTAAATGTATTTAAAACTTGGCTAATTTAATGCTAAACTTAAAGTTGGTACAGACCAGTTTTAACTTTTAATTCTATTTGTAAATCAGTAGAAATTCCTTTTGTGGCTCTTCGATGTTTCAAAATGGACGATTATTCCGACTATTTAGATGAAATCAACCGTGTTATTCCCATCAATGGACATGTCAGGGATCGCCTGGACCCCTTCACATGGTTTTCAGAGGAGGAATTTAAAGCAAGGATTAGATTGAATAAGCAATCGGTGTTGAATATCACTAATAGTTTGCAAAAATGAACATGACATGGATTCCATATCAAATTTATTATGACGTTTAATTGCTCCTTCGAAGAATAGAAAGAATTAAATTCAAAGATATCGTTTGATCTTACTTTGTTGATAATTGTCATAAAAGCCGTAAGACACCAGATGAGAGTCTATAGAGTTTCGAACTACAAGACATCCACACTACATACAGCAGTGATTAAAATGTTAAATAAGAAATATGTCTTAGTGACCAATCTTTACACTCTTTTGTCATATATAGGTTGTGTATATAGTGTGTGGTTTGAATGGAAAATAGAATTTCAATTACAGTACAGATAAATATATTTGGTTAATTGTTAGTTGGTGCATACAAAAAATAGAATTATCTTTAAATACATTTAACTAAATCTATTTAAGGTTTAAAATAATTCTATTCCTCTTAATTTGAATTTTAGATGGTGCATACGGGTCAATACCTAGGCATGATTAATATTTTTGTATGAACAATGAAGGAAATAATTTCTATCTATCATACATATAGAAATCAGATTATTTTAATGCATGATTTACATATAGCAAGATTATTTAGTTTTTAAATCGAGAGTGCGATGGTCAGTGAATACAATATTAAAAAAAAAACAGTCCATGCACAAACCATGGAAATTTGACCATGCAAAATTTCAGCTACACATTTAATTTACAAATTGTCTCAGCAAATTGAAAAATAATGTCACAACCACATAATAGATAGAAGAAGTTCAGAATAAAAGGATCAGTGATGGAAGACAAAGTAGAATGTTAAAGTCACTGATATCACATATGAAGAAATAAACACTATATTCCGAGAACAACCAGATGTTTCATGATAATAAGCACTTTCTAACTGTCCATTTTCAGATCTATAATAATTACGGGCGCCTGTAAATAAAACGAATTTTAAAACTGTTATATACTTTAAAATGTGAACAAGTATTTTTTTATGTGATGCACCAGTTCTATAAATACCTACCAAATTTCAAATTCCTACAATAGGGAAAGTTTTTGGAAAACATTAAAAGTGCCAATCTGTTACCTCATTACATTTATATTTTATCACAGGCAACCAATTTTAATTTGACCAATAGTCAACTTTACATTTGCAACAAAATACTTCTATATGTAGTCATATCAACAACCAAAAAAGACATTTCCCACTCACCTTTTCCATCGGCTGTTTTAATATCTAAATATGAGGATTCCCCTTTCCCTGCCTCTGTACGAGCCCAGACATAAAATCTATATTGTTTATCAGCAACTAATCCAGTGATACGAGCACCAAGTTTTGAGGGATTAGTTATCTGTGTTTTTAGAGCTCTTATTTTTCCTAACTTTTTTCCTGAAACTAAATGAAAAAAGAAAATAAAGTAAGTAACATTCATTCAATTATTTAGCAAAAGATTTATCTTTGTCATCGTTACTAATAAAATTGTGATCTGTTATTTACTATCCAAATAACACACTATATGTAGGCTTCCGCAGATATTTTGAAGTTGTGAAGGACATTGTGATCACTTTGTTTACTGCAGAAATTGAAGTTTTTATACCTGTTTGATAGCTTATACCATAACCTATTAATATACCATTAGGTTCATCTGGTGGTAGCCATTTTAATACAACATATGTCATACCATAAGCTTCTGTATGTAAATTTCTCACAGGACCAGGTTCTACAAATAAGAGAAATTGTTATTTTTGGTTATCTCCCTTTATTTTTATCTTCAAAACAGGGAGAAACTGAGCACAAATTCTTCTTGATGTTTTTGAAAGCCAAAACTTTGGCTGTCACTTGGCTTTATCATTCATTTGAATATCCTAGAATGGCTATTGGACTTATTTCATTGGACTTTACCTTTGAATAGTGGATCATGACGGATCATTGATCGTGATGAAGATCGTTTTCTCCTTATGATCAATAAAACTATTAGACTATATTTACCTCCTTCTGGTGTGAAGAAGTCTATAGTTTGACTAGGTGGACCAGTATAATGAGTATTTCTGACGGTAACTTGAGCACGTAAAGCAGTATAGGCTGGTAGATTAGATAACGCTACACGAACATCAGGTCCATGGTCTCCTTCCTTCAAATCAAACGATATATCAATCTTCTTCATTTTAAAACGACCTTCACTAGATCGCCAATATCTCAACTGGAAAAAATAACATGTATTGCTAATAAGAACTGTATTATTGGCACAGGGATACATTTCTCACCAGAATGAAGTATCAGTTATATTATAACTTTAATGTTCCATATTAGTACTCTATCAATAACGTTTGACAAATTAAATGGAAACTAAAGGAAACCTTCCACAAACTGCTAGTCCTGAGTAATTTTACTGAATGTTAAAGCAGTAGAGGTGGCAGTATCGATAGATAGTCTTGTTTGTGCTTTTGTTTTGAATCATACCAGATATGTATAAATATCTTCACTCCAGTATACAAATTCTCAATTCTTAAGTCTTTCTTTCAGAATTGTAAACTTACCTGATAACCACGAAAATGTCCTCGAATTTTATCTTCTGTAGTATCAACAGCCTCCCATATAAAATGAGCTATATGAGGTTCAACAGAATATGTAGGGTCTACACGAAAATCTTTAGGTGATATCAATGGCTCTGAAAAATATCACAAATTTCAATAAGCACGATAATAAACCTAATTTTAAAAGTAAAAAATTGAAAATTATATTTTTGAAATTTAACTTCTATAATCATGATAATAACGAAATTGCAAAAATCAAATGTTATAAGTTCCTCTTTTTCTAATCTATATGCAAAATACATTCTAACAATTTAGTTCTGCATGGCAATCCAATCTTGTATTTGTTGATGAACAACTGAAATAGATTTCTATTAGAGCAGTATGAAATAAGTAAACTACAAGATCAGCCAATGGCTCCCCTATACAACTCTGCCTTTTGTACAATCCCATATAAATAAAATATTTGGACACATGTTAGTCAATAATGTAAAACTCGAAAAAGAACTTCTAACTTATACTACTTATGGTAGCTGAGATAAATTAATTCTTTATAATAACTGTTAAAAAAAAATACGACAAAAATGCTCATCCAAGTGAGAATTGAAGGATGCAGAAAATTATGGTGCCGTCGCCATTCACATGTGGATGCGTAAAAAAAATGGAGGAGGATAATAACAAGGCAACCTTGAAAATTGAATAATGGGAATAAAATTAAAAGAAAGTTACAGTTTATTCAAATATATGCAGGTTTGATATCTTGTGAAATATCTAAAAGTATTAAATGAGGGCTTTTGGTGCCCACCTTCAAGAATAGGGCATCCCCCTTGCCCCACCACTGAGATCAGCTTACATCATTATCAATTTTTTTGATTGGTGTACATGTATAGTTCAGTTCTTTACACATGTCCTAAATTATAAAAGCTTGTGCTTGAAATAAGTACCAAACTTACCTCCTTCTCCAGAATGACCATGATAAATAAAAGCAGGTTGATATGATGCTCCGAGATTATTCTCAGCTTTAACTTGTATTTCATATAACCCATAAATATCATCAACTTCTTTTTCAAAATGGCTGACAGATGGATCTGCTACGACTGCAGACTCCCAGTAGGTGCTACCTTTTGGTCTCCAGTAGACATGGTAGCAGAATGCTGGTCCATGGTGTAATAACCGATGCATAGGCTAAAAATAGTAAATGATAAACTTTAAATAATTCATCCTTTTTTCTGTTTGATTATTTTGGTCCCATATGCCACAAAGATACAATGAACAGTGAGGTACTTAAATGGTAATTTTCCTCTCTACGCCACTGTCATGAGCCTCCATGAAGAACATTTGAGTCCTTGTACTTCAATATGTTCTTGTAAACTTCTCTTGCTTAGTCAGGACAATCAACGGATGGTAAAATTCCCCACGTCTCAATATCTGTAAATCAGTCATTTACCATTAAGTCTATACACTGCATATTCTGGAAACATGAGAATTGCTACTCTTTTTTTTTCAAGAATATGTTATTTTTCATTGTTTGTTGATATAAGCTTATAATTTGATATGTTATATTGGTATATTTAGTAAATGTTCATATTAAACCTCTGGTTCTAGTAAAATCCTTAAAGCCATCATAAAAATATCTTCCACTAAAATTACTTCCTTATTCAAACTATGGCAAGATAGTCTTGATCATTTGACACCAGAATGCTCCAGACAAAACACATTTATATCAATTGTCATAGGACTAATTGACCTGGACTAATTGTCTTATTATATTCTCTATTATCATACAGATCACTAAATACAAAATTATTCAAAATTAAATTTCTTAAGAACAGAGCGATGGTCATTAAGTCCATTCCCTAAAGGCTTTTATTTTATATCTAAGTAGAAAGATTTTCTTAAAAATGTCTAATTATTTCAGATTTTTATTTGTATTTAATATTAGAGAAATTCATAGCTATCTGCTTTTTAAACTTAATCCTTACTCGTCTTTTCTCGAGACTGTGCCATTTTATAGAGCACTCAAGTTCATAAATGGATTTTTCATAATAATTTTTGCAGTCAATTAGCTCAATATATAGATATATTTTACATCACATTGATGTAGTTTTAAGTTCATTTCAGCTAGTAATATTCAGCACATTACTTCCTATTATATACCTTGATAACAAGGCAAACAATACTCAGATATTCTAATTTAACTTATATATAACATTGGTGTATGATGTTGATGTAATTTGACAATTTCATTATGAGACCATAAATGTGCTTTTATGACTTGTGTTTATGTACTTTTATTTATGAAATTGATATACTTTGCACTTAAATATACATGACATTCACTTATATGGCATTTTTTCACTTCAATTTATTCACATGACTTGTACAAGCTAATTGGTATACTTCAAATTGTTTACAAAACATGTATACAAGACATGGGTGTACTTCAATTTGTTTACAAGACATTGGTGAACTTTAATTGGTGAACTTGTAATTTATTTACAAGACATTGGTGAACTTATAATTTATTTACAAGACAATGGTGAACTTTAATTGGTGAACTTGTAATTTATTTACAAGACATTGGTGAACTTTAATTTATTTACAAGATATTCATGTACAAGTACTTGTTTACATGACTAGTGTACAAACCAATTTACAAGACATCAGTGTATTTTAATTTGTTCAATAGACATCAGTGTACTTTAATTTGTTCAACAGACATCAGTGTACTTTAATTTGTTCAACAGACATCAGTGTACTTTAATTCAATTTACATTCATTTACATGACTTTGGTGTACTTTAATTTGTTCAATAGACATCAGTGTACTTTAATTTGTTCAATAGACATCAGTGTACTTTAATTTGTTCAATAGACATCAGTGTATTTTAATTAGTTCAATAGACATCAATGTACTTTAATTTGTTCAATAAACATCAGTGTACTTTAATTTGTTCAATAGACATCAGTGTATTTTGATTTGTTCAATAGACATCAGTGTACTTTAATTTGTTCAATAAACATCAGTGTATTCTAATTTGTTCACTAGACATCAATGTACTTTAATTTGTTCAATAGACATCAGTGTACTTCAATTTGTTCAACAGGCATTAGTGTACTTTAATTTGTTCAATAGACATCAGTGTACTTTAATTTGTTCAATAGACATCAATGTACTTTAATTTGTTCAATAGACATCAGTGTACTTTAATTTGTTCAATAGACATCAGTGTACTTTAATTTGTTCAATAGACATCAGTGTATTTTAATTTGTTCAATAGACATCAGTGTACTTTAATTTGTTCAATAGACATCAGCGTACTTTAATTTGTTCAATAGACATCAGTGTACTTTAATTTGTTCAATAGACATCAATGTACTTTAATTTGTTCAATAGACATCAGTGTATTTTAATTTGTTCAATAGACATCAGTGTACTTTAATTTGTTTTTTAATATAAAATGATAAAAGAAGAAGTTAATCTCCTCCCAAAAGATTGACAAGTCATTTAATAGAAACAATGTTTTGACTAATTATTGCACCATCTGTACATATTATCTTTTGGCTGGAAATCAAATTAACTTGAAATAATATTATTAAATAGAATGCACTTGACATGGCATGTTTTAATTTCTGACACTAATATTCAAAACGTATTAAATTTAATTCTATTAATAATCATTGAAGAAAAAGTGAAATATTTAGACTAGCTAAGAGATTATTTTTTTCTAGAGGCTCTCTGTTAAGTGGATAACCATGTTGAATTATGACCCAGTTAAGAGAATTTCTATTGGAGCTGTATTTTAATATGTCGATCCCTGTTCTTGTTTTTAATTGTGTCAGCCATGTTTACTTAAGAAACAATGCATCGATGACATCAGAGACGTAATCATGTTAAAATATTGCATGTTACCCCCAAGTGTTTTTAAAGAACAAACGCTTCTGTGATAATGAGAGGATGAAGAAATATTACAGAACTAATAAGTTGACAAATGTCAGTTTTGTTTCATTAAAAGTGCATCTAAATTCTTGCCAAACCTTATTCTATTTTTTGTTATGCAACTTGTCTTGTTCTGAGTTTTATATGAGCAGTCTTTAGTTCAATTTTATAATTTAAGGATTCCAAAAGCATATGTTGCACCCAGAATTCTGCAGACCTTCCCAAAAAGACTGTAACTGTAGTGTCATTATTTACTGAAACATTCCTACTTCTAGCAATTCTAGATCACTAAAACTTCCCAACTTCTTAATGAATACCATTATCAACCATTAGAATTAGTTTTTGATTAGAAACTAGAATTTGCCAAGGATTTCATACGGTTGAACTTCTTGATGTGACAAGGAACATCCTATTTTAATTATTAAATTGTGTATAATTGCAATAAAACATTATTTGATTTAGACTTACCTCCCATTGTATAACCAACATTCCTTTTTTATCAGTTCTGGTCCGAACAGATTTGGGATTACCGTCTGGTCTATCTGGGGGTGTGGTACAATTTCCAACAGTTGACTCACTAGGTTTACTTTGTCCAACACTATTTTTAGCAATAACACGAAAAGAGTATGTCCCCCACGGAGACATTTCCACAAACACATTGTTCATATCTCCTGGAAATTTTTCAAAATAATCAAACCAATGGTCTTTATTTTCGGAAGTGTTAAATTGCACAATATATTTTGAGATTGGGTCACCATTATTGGGTCCTGGTTGCCAGGTAATTTCTGCGGAGTGACCATGACAAGTATTCAATCTAACATTAACTGGGGGGTCAGGAACACCTGAAAATAATCATTTATAAATATGACAACATGAAATTGCATTTGTACAATGCTACAAGGGCTAGATTTAAAATCAGACATAAATATTGGCATGGTGGCGTATAATCTTGTGGTTTATGGTAGTATTAATCTTACAATAACCTCAATATCTGATTGTGTGCTAGCCCAAAAAACAGGTTTACAGGTTACAGTGGCAAAGACAACAATTTTGTAGCATATTAAGCTAAAATACTCAGCATTTCAGTTACATGTAAATCATATTCCAATCTAGAACAATGAATCTGAATCTTTTTTTTGTTTTGACATAGATCAAAAAAGTAGATATATATTTAAAAAAATAATAGTGTATAATTGAATTCAGCACTGAATCAATATTAACTTCACACTTCTATAGTTTTAAAAAGATCAATTTATGTCATTATAGAAATGTATGCAAGTAGTTACTTTGAAATATTTCAATTCACATAAATAAAGGGTTTTAGAATCTGTCAGTTTTTCTTCTATAATTTGAGGTCTGACATGTTAAAACACAATAGAAAATTGACTATATAATTACGTTACGTTTAGCTCGAGTTGTCAACTTTTATAGTAATAAAAAAAAATAGTTAAATAATGATTTAATGATTTACAAATAAATCGTTGTTTGACTTCTGACTTTATAGAATATCATTAATTTCTTGAATATTTTATTGTTATTTTATTGAAGACCAATTTGCATGCTTAAAGTGAAAGAGTCTTGAAATTGGAACCAAAGTTTACTTGAAAGAAGCTTTTGTATTTGATAACATTTACTGATTAAATATGTAATATTGCACAATCTGAATCTGCAAACATCTTAGAAACGAACTAATGTCAAGTTACACATACCAAATTAGTTATTAATATATTATTAATCAAATAATCGATAAGAGATGTTGTAAAGATGTTAGCTCTATTCTACTTGAATCAAATCTGTCACCTGCAGAAATCTATACAATCAAATAACTAGTATTAGTCTGTTCTGATATTATGATTGATATATTGTGGGTGAGGTTCCATATGGTTTGGTAATTTGGTTATAAATACAATATGTAATTGAAACTACTAAAGGTCAAGGAAAAAGATTCTGTTAATTAAGTAAAAACTGTTATGTGGGGAAAAAACAAACATAAATATGTAATGTACTCATAAAAATAACGAATTTCAATTTATGATTTATGGTTACTGTCACAAAGAGTGCTGATTGAGGTCTTCTCTCTCTGCTTATTCCATTTTCACAAAGGCATTACCCTTTGGGTGTATAGTAGACCACCTGATGCATTTTTGTTACCATGTTTATCAACTCATAATGCCTTTCTGAGAGACACATAGCCCTTTCTGAGAGACACATAGCCCTTTCGAGAGACACATAGCCTTTCTGAGAGACACATAGCCTTTTTGAGAGACACATAGCCTTTCTGAGAGACTCATAGCCAATTTATTTTGGTATTTCATTCCAACCATGCGTACCTTTGGAGAGTTTACATGGCTAATAATGTGTGTTTGGTATCTTCATTCCATGAATAATTAATTTGTTACTGGGAATGTCAACATGTCCATCCTTTCAGAGAAGTCTACATGGCTAATAATGTGTATTTGGTATTTTCAAGTCCATGATAAATATGACAAATGACCGATCTTTTATCTCCAGTACATAAAAATATAACACTATTTCCCAGTATACTAAACAACATACATGTATATAAATAATTAATGCACCAATCAATGATAAAGTAGAAAAGTTAGAGAAATTTGAGAGAGTGTGGCTCCCACTGGAATGCAGTCAGGAGAAAAAATATAGCCATTACTGTGTGACAACATGCAATCTAGTTCTTCTTTATTAGTTCATGTATTCATCTATCATCTATATTTCAACATGAATAGCAACTTGGGCTTCATGTACTTCAATCCCGTCTATCAGTCTGGTGTTATCAGGATAACAAACTAGACATCATTTATCTGGTTTTACCAGGATAACAATATATTCCTTGTCTTTTAGATCCATTGAACTACGCTGCTGATATTAACAGATAGCCATAGCTCTGACTAATATTAGATTCTGTCCACCATATGTCTGATTTTACCATCCACCAGATGTTTGATTTCATCATCCACAAGATGTCTGATTTAACAAAATATCAATAGATTCTGTCTTGTTTTAGATCCTGTCCCCTACATGTCTGATTTTATTTAAATGGAATGAGGTTCTGTCTATTTTTAGATCCTGTCCAACAGATGTCTGATTTTACTAAAATATCAATAGATTCTGTCTAGTTTTAGATCCTGTCTGCGAGATGTCTGATTTTATTTAAATGGAATGAGGTTCTGTCTATTTTTAGATCCTGTCCACCAGATGTCTGATTTTACTAGAATGTCAATAGATTCTGTCTAGTTTTAGATCCTATCTGCGAGATGTCTGATTTTACAAGGATATCAAAAGGTTCTGTCTAGTTTTATATTCTATCTGCCAGATATGTGATTTTATCAATAGGTTCTGTCACTATTGCACAGGCATATTCATCTTAATTTGTATTAGCTCACACAGTCTCTACGAAGCAAGATTTCATAACCGGACCTTGCAGAAGACTAATAGCCTCTAGGGACTGTGGCAAGGAAGTTGAGCTGATCTAAATGTGATATATTCCAACATAGAAAAGTAAAATAATTCAGATGTCCCTTGATACAACACAGATTCCTTTCAATATAATCTACAGTCTGTCTGTACAATCTAGGTTAACTTAATGTTAAAGCTGCATGACATTAGTTATTAGTACTCACTTCCTATCTGTTCACATTTTAAAGTCATCAGCCTATGCATGAGAAGGTATTAATTTGGATTTTGAAGAAACATATATGCAAAAATGAAGACAGCCAAGGCTATTATGGGTCCATTAAATCTTATAAAATTTTAATATAATACTTTTCTATTGAAAATTTTCTGATTGAAAACATGTATGGGATATTAATCGTTATTGATTCTGACAGTATGAGCAAACCCTTTAACAACAACCATCAATAAAGTGGTTTGCTTCAAGTTTTGTAAATACATGTATATCTATTCAGAAAGCTTGAAGAACTAAATCTAACATTGGGAATTGCTATAAAAAGGAATCTTGAAGCCTTAAAGTCTTATTTAGAAATTCAATCCAAATACCAAGATTATGCTTGGCTTTGTCATTCATTTTCATCTTGAATTTGACTCACTTCATAAGTACATGTACAGCTTTAAGATCTGAACATATTGATTGAGATTTGGATAGGTTATATCTGTTATCCCCTTTTGAGTTCAACATAAGTTATTAGTAAATATGTAAATCTAATAATGAAAATGTGATTTCAAATTAGCTACAAGTGATAATGTTTAGTTCTGAAGACCATATGGCCCTGTACCAATTACTATATATTATTAATTTGATAATGTACTTGTAAAAGATTAGAAGATGTACAGTATACAGTACTGAAGATCTGTTCTATCTGACTGGACAATCTAATTAATTAAATAGCCACCTCCTTATCTCATTTCATTAAGTGAACATTGGACTAGAATAGATAGTCCACTTAACTTATTTCATCAAATGTTTTGGTGGCAGCAAATTATGATTATGTAGTAAACAAACTTGTTTGGACCTGTTATGAAAGGGAACAAAAACAACTCCATGCAGTGTGGATTTGGCCCAATCAGAGGCATTGATTTTTTATGCAATTTTCCACTTAAACATGAAGCACCAGCTCAAGAACTGGATGATTTCCTATATTTGGCACCACTGACAATCTGAATCAGTGCTGAACACAACAATGGAAATAATCTAAAGATGCTTTAATAAAAAATATAGTAAAAAATAAAATGAAAACTATACTTACTTCTAACAGTTAAATGAGCACTGGACATGTCCATATCAATACCCACTGATACAATACACATATATACACCACTGTCATTTTGATTTACATTACGTATAACTAAAGTATTGCGATTTTTATCCGTTTTTAAAACGTATTTTGCATGATTAGATTTGTTAATGAGTTTGCCATTGTGTTTCCAATGTAAATGAATTCTATCACTATCTGATGGTTGTGTAACTATTTTACAGACAAATCTGGCTTTTTCCCCTTTATCTACTATCACACTTCTTAACTTTTCTTCTATTCTGATTAAGCCTGAAAAAAAGAACAAAAATACTTATACTAATTTCTTAATGTCTAGAATATGCCTTAGAATAAACATAAATCTATGCAATGTGCATCTAAAGGTCACAGAAGTGCAAGAAATTAAGTAACGAAGGAAAAAATTCTCTAATAATAACTTTCGTATGACAGTTCAAATCTACTATATCTTGTTGACATTTGTAATTAAACTAATGCATACATTTAAAGAAAACGTGTGTCTTTTAAAGTAAAGTACGGCATATTTTATTAATTTATTTAAGTTCATCACATGTTAAAAGAAAATTGAAATAAAAGTTTCAATTCTAATACCAACATTATCTGGTCTTGTCCATAAGCGTCCTGAATGACCCAGGATGACTATTTATCTCATTTCATATGTACATGTACCTATACCAGGTGGTGTCTAATCTCTCTTGTTGTTGATGATGATGATGTTATTGTAATGAGTTAACTTTTGAAGTAGTCTAGCATTATTCAATTTAAATAATTACATGTACATAGAGGGCCTACGCACACATTTAAATTGACAATCTGAGAGAAAAATTAAATTATCTCAAATTCTAATATCTTATTCTATAGAAATGTTGCTTTAACTGTATTAGTAGTATGGGAATATCAAATGCCATCTTAGGACCATCAATAAATAGACATACATGTAGTTACTTTAATATTATTAAATAAATTTTGACTTTAATTCCATTGTCTACAAAGCTTTTAATGACTGGGTCATAAATCATGGTAATAACAGTCTGTGGCTTATATTGCTGACTTTATAGGAAATTCATCAAAAGAAAAGAGTCTAATGGTTTCTGAACATCACACATGATAGACTGACCACAAAATATCCAATAACTCATACTTTTAATTTAAAATATACTGATATTTCCCATCTTATTCTTTCTGCAATTGATTAATAACACCACGTTGACTGGAATGGAACTTTTGCCAAGACACCAGTGTTAACAACTGTTGAAGGATCTTCAATGATCACAACCTATAACACTTCAATTTGTAGCTTTCCAAAGAAGAAACATGAAACACTGTATTGGCCCAAAAGAACTTAGTAAAGGAATCATGTTTCATGCTTTCTCAATGTAATACAATGTTTTTTTCTACTGATGTTTCTGGACTACTGCCCTTCAAAACCCTGTGAAGGTCTAGGAAATATTTTCATAATAAACTTCTACCCTCCTTATGGTTTAAAAGGTACCTTTTTTTAATCACATGGACATATTCATTTGATGTGTCACGGCTAGGAAAAAAACAACTATGTGCTGAATTTTATGCTTCCTTCTCTAGACATTGTTTTCATACTTATATGATTTGGGAACACTATCAAAAACAGGTTGAAATACACTAGTTTAAACCCGAGAAAGGTTGTAGGAAGGAAGCATGTTTTTAGAACAATAACCTGTAATGCAACAAGCTTTCAGTTTTGATGTCTTCCTATCTTTCATTATTAATGGCTGTTGAGATTTTTTACAACATTTATTTTCATTATTCACTTAGAGAAGTTGTTAAATTGTCAGAGCTAAACTAATTCCTGTAATTCTTAAAACCAGTGGCAATAAAAATAGGTCAATGCCGTAATTTACAGGATATTTTCTTTGGATATTTTTTATAGATTTGCTGCACATGAAATCAGGGACTTCCTTGGGGGACATTTAAGGATATCAATTGGCCTCTAAATATAAATTAATCTATCACGAATATGTCTCATAATTGTATTATTCTGGCATGTCTTGCTGAGAGTGTGTGGGGGAGGCTCCTTTGGTTCTTTCATTTCTCGTGCTTCTCAACCAACATGGCCTTTCATATTATCAAATCCAAAACACTTTCAAAAAAGAATAGTATGTAAGAATTAATACTTTTATCTTATAATTAAGGAAGTGAAAAAAAAATAACATGTTAACTCTTACTAATTAGTATCTGTAAAGAAATCTTATAAAAGAAATTGAAGATATTTTTTTTCTAGTATTGAAAACGCTTCAGTAATGATTTGAGTGTATTTGTTCTCAGTGCTTCAGGCTATGATAATGATAGCAGTCAATCATCTTATCTTACTTCATCTAAAATAACTAGTTTTTATTCCGTCAAAGGTTCTTCTCATGCCTGACCTTTGCACATCTTTAGAAACCACCTGAACCTTTGCCATTACTTTTCACTACAAAATGTGTTAAGTCCAAACATAAAGAATTGATTCATTTATTCAATTGTTAAACTTGATTGAATGCAAATGGAATTATTTGAATTGCAGTTTTAAGGTCTTACAATTCAAGCATTTTTTTTTTCTTATGACAATCTGATCCTTCTGTGGCATACAAATGAAAGAAATTTCAATATGAATATAAAAACATCATTAATATGCATAGAGGAAAGGTCTTTCAAAGTCTGCTACTAGAACCTGCGTTAAAACAAATGATGGGATCGAACCTCTGAACTTGCCGAGCAACTACATCATATAAACTCAAAATGTTTATGATCAATGACACAGAAATAATGTCTTGTACTAAATCAAACCTCACAGAAACCTTAATATTCTGTTCCAAACCCAAACCACAATCGATGTCACTTAAAAACATGACCAATGAATGAAACCGTTACATGAAGTACTTCCAAAGCGAGGCTAATGAAATCAGTCAACAAAGACATCTGCGTTTGGTTACAGAATAAACTGACCCTAGCTTGCCACAATCAATCTATTTCAAGATAAGGATTGGGCAGACAACCAGCTCTTCTGTGTTGGAGGAGCAGGTGTTAGTTAGAATTGATTCCTTAAATTATTCACCGAATAAATGTCATATCTAATTCATCCTGGCTTTATTGATTGCTAACCAATGAAAATACAAAGTTACAGAACTAATGTCGCGGAATTTTATGAAAATAGCAATAAAATTTGATTTGAAAGAAAAGCGCAAAGGGAAAATCAATACAGACAAAATGCACGACAAGCATTTAAATACGACACTAAATTGACCTTGATAACAAAACGGAATAATAAAAAAATAGCTTCACTATTTTAACATAAAATCATTGGGATTTTTTCACTTCATTACGTTAAATGGAAATGTGACTTTCCTGCTTGTCACTTAATGAACGTAATAAACAATTCTGTCATAATTCTCCATAAACTAGCACCTGATGCCACTCTGTCAAGTCAAACTCTTTCATATCTTTGTCTTTGTTCCAATTTCGCTATTAAGACATTGATAATATTCCTAATTATTTCCAAATTTCTTCAATATCACAATTGTAGTATATCTCATTATGTATTCTATAGTGGACAATTTTAACAAGCAATTTCAACACAATTACATGACATTTAATTCTAGAACACAAGTTAGTGTTTCAATAAAACAATGACTGGACCGGTATGAACCTTGCCATTACTTTCTATTTTAATATTTCACCACCAGTTAGTCTACCAACGTTGATATTTAATCAATTCAATAAACATGTTACTCTTAAGATAAATTTTTAATTCGATGTTTGATATCACCAGGCATGTTTATCATTGAATATCTACCACTATCACAGAATTGTCAAATGATCTTATTGAACTCCTAACCCAATAAATTACAGTATCATCTTATTTCTGATCACAGATAATACATCTTAAAAAAGATATTTTAAATATCATGATATTATAAGTCCCTAGTAATGACAAAGATAAACAATATTGTTTATGAAATAAGTAAATACAGACAAATAAGTAGGTAGATTATCTGAAAATCAAATACAATGTAAACTTTTTAATCATTATAATATATATTATCCAGAATTAGCAACAATACTTGGTCTAATCCTGTATCTGAATGGCAGATCAGGTGTGGTTTCTGGATTTTTTTAACTAAAATATTTCTTCTTTAAAGGGATATTCAAGAGTCATCTTAATATTTGCTTTACAAGTTATTAAAGCGTTCTTTATCACTGTTCAGATTTAGAATATGACATCTTGTTATTCTACAACAATGCCTCATTTCATCATTTCCAGGATGTTATGTTAAGGTAATCGTGTGCAGATTACTCCATATTGTGATGTCACTAGTCATACCTGCATGTGAGTATAATAAAAACTGTGTACAATTTGAATAATTAGAAAAATCAGCAGGTAATATGTTATCTCACATTAGTCAACAAATATAACTAGGGACCTCCTAGAGAAGTTATGTCACTTAATTATTAGTATTTCACTTCCATTCTGTATCATATGAATTCCATCAGTGCAAGTATGATAATTTTACTCTGTAAGACCATAATATACATGAGAGTTTGGCTGCTACTGATTTGCTGGAATGTACCAATGATACAAATTATATAGTCAATATTTATTAGAATATATAGGTTAGGTTAGGTTAGGTTAGGTTATATTCTTCCAATGACTATTTCTAATCCTATGATGTCTTCATAATAATACTTAAATCTGAGTTCAAAATAATTAGGCTAATGGCTAAGTTATATCAAGTTATAGACAAGTATCAATATATATAGAGTCATATTATGTGACAAAGAACAATTTGCGCTATAGCTGGTAATATTCTAGAAGAATAAAATTGTGTTTATTTCTAATTGTCTAAGTGGTAAGATTCTGAAAATGAATGAAGAGAGGAAGTCAATGACATAGGTCACCCACTGAAGAAAAAAAATGAATATTCATATTGTTATCATCTTGTAATATACTGATTGTTATAAACTGCTTCACCACTTCCTAGAGCCAATAGTATGAACAAGACATTCAAACAATTTAGACAGCACCACTTCCTTTAGCTGGACCCCAATTGTAATGGTTCTGAGAACGATTGCCTGTTTACACTACACAAAATTCATCAGGGAGTTTTGATCAAAGACTTAAATTTAGACATAAAGATGTGAAGGAATTTTAACAATTAGTGAAAAGCCATTCCTAATCTAAAGTTAGCAATTAATATAAATGTAAAGTGTGGTTTTAATATGACCTGACAATCACTAAAATCACTTTTCCATTTTAAAATTTATTGACTCGAGTCACATCTGTCCGACAATCCAGTCAAAGAATGGGGCTTTTAACTCTAATTCATCTCGGCCATTGTTAGCAGTTTAACTAACAGATTTCTATCATTGTCATGTTTAATTTACCGACGTTACAGCTCCCTAACGGAAACCTGATTCCAGTCTTTCAGGGATTAGAGGAAATGAAATAAATGGCCCTGCAATTCCTTTTGATTTGGACAAAAATGATTTGTGTTTTTCCACAAAAGATGTTCATGCTCCAATGAGTTCAATGAATTTCTGATGTGACAGCAAAACAGGGATACCATGTTAGTGAACAGATTCTAATATAGCATTGTGTCACATGATCATCTTTAAAATTCCTCAAAAAGCATCACGAGACTGTTAAGACCAGTTCTCATACTTAAATTATTTTACATATCTCATGTTTCTGTGACCTATATATTTTAAGTTTATTATCTCCCTTGAAAAAATTATTTTCTTTCATCTAACTAAGCTGAATGTGACATTAATTGTCTGTTTAGTGTTGTTCTTTGTAGAGATAGCGCCTTTCTCACTTTTTTTTTTTTTTCACTTGATAAAAGGATTCGTACCAAAACGTAGCTACATTTACTCTAATTGTATCGACTTTTTACATACTGTTTGCACGTGTGATTTATTTTTTCCTCTATGTCCTATAGAATAAAGATGTGGATATTTTTTTCAGGCCGATTTTCTTTGTCTCCTTAAATTTCTTTTAGCACCTCAATATATGTATATAGTCATAGTAAAAGTAAAACGCTGCAGTAGGTGTATATATAGGTTTCCATAATACATATAAAAAGTTTCCTTGTGCTATTAAGGATACAATTTACAAACATCATAAAAGCTTCAAAACAAACATTAAGTGGAAGAATCTTCTATTTTCCAATATTCATCAAGTGTATTTTAAGCAATCCATATTGACATGCTATAAAGAATTCCAATATTGGCACTATTAACAGATGGTTATAGAAAAACACGAACATAAGAAAGGTGAATCACCCATTAGTAAGCAGACATATTGGAAAAAGTATAAAGAGAATGGTATAAAAGGAAGATAGTTGTCTAGTGTTTGTCTAGATCTATATTATAGTGTTTAATCTGGAGTTCATTATGGTGACAGTATTCTAGAAATCAAGTAAAGTGTTTTCTGATACTGTTGTATAACAGATTCTTTCTACCACTACAAGGGCTGGTGATTTCAATGTATAAACCTTCACATGGAACTAAAGCTAAAATATACTTGGATATTTGGAGTTCTTTTTCTGAAATTTGAAATTTCCAAAGAGATATGAGGGGTCACTTAATACAACTCTGAACTTCAACATTCTACTCTTCCACACCACATATTACAGACTTTCATACTTAAAATAAAGCCTCATCTTATAATATTTGATTAATTCAAAGAAACTTCCTGTTTTTCCAGTAAAGTGTCTGGTATTTTCAAATCACATGTATTTTCAAGTGTATGCAGACTTTTAGTATAGTCTAACCTGTAAAAGATAACCTGTTATCAGAGAAACCCAACTCAATTCCACTCCACGCCTTACATGTGACATTTGAACAAACTGACATGCTGCGAGGAATGTCAATTTCCACTCGTTTTATGTGTTGGGATATAGAGTCAACTAAAAAACAAGATTAACTGTCAATCTGAATTTGGAATAAAGTTCAAGCTATCTCTTGTGGCTATCTACATGTACGAAACAATCGGAAATCATTATCACCCTCAATACCAAAAGAGTAGACAGAAATCACACAATATCGACATTGAAAGCAAAACACAAGACTGTTTTTTTATGTCTCTGTGATGTTGGGAGCTGGTGTAAGAGGAAGATAATAGTTATTCGATCTAGAAAAGGGCGCTGAAATTAAAATAGATTTATTGATCAAGAGAAGGGTTAGTGTGTGGTAAACTGTGCTTTCAAGTTTGTAAGATCAATTACGTCTGACTAGCACATCAATGGATTAATCTTAGATGGAAAAGAATTGATTTCTCTACGAACACTATACATTTGTAAACAAATGTACAACTTTGTGGCTTACGACATGTCCAAGTGGTCTCTTTTAATCTTTCTAGCAGACGACATCGAGATCGGTAACAAAGGGAAAGAGTTTTTGTGTAATGAGGTAAATAATCCTGAGATAGGTAGTGTATGAGAGAGTATTGTTTGAGTCAGGTCTTCTGGGACGTGGCGGCCATATTGATAAAAGCAAAATAAAGTATATTGAATATAAATCGTTTGATTATTAACTATTCTATCATTGTTAGTATAACAATGATGGCACGAAAATGTAAATCTCAGTTGGAAGCAAGTAGAATTCATTACTAACACATTGAAAAGTAGGAGCCACGTACTGTATAAATAGAAAAAATAGTCTTAAAGCTTAATTTCACCAAGCTTTATAATGATTGACAGATAGCGTGGTGGGAATATCAAGCGTGTTCTTACAAAACTTATTAACTTTAATGTAAAGGAATCTTTCTTAAATATACTGGAAAGTTACATGGTAGAGTTAACTGTCAATCTTGGCCTATAATTGTTGTAATTGTCAAAAGTATAGGTTTACATGGGAGCTAACATATCTTTACCTCTATTGGAAATGAATTTTTTGTTCAAAAATTTCTCTGCATTATAAGGCTAATAGCGATACAATTAGCAAATATATATATTAAATACACTTGATTGTTAGACCCCTCCAAAGCATTTTTACGTTTTACTGTGCTTATTTGTGTTTTATTGTTTATTTGGCTTAAAGTACACAAATTCACAAAAACATATAACACTTCTTTAAAGTACAAGCTTAAAACTTCATATTGTAACCTTCAACCTGAAGAGTTCAGTACATCTCAATTCAAATACATACCATTGCATGTCAAAATATGTCAAAATCAATAAATTAAAAGAAAACTGACTTAAATTTATATTTCTTAAAAAAATATATCTTCCTGGTTTTAATCAAATGTTGAAATTTTCAGTAATTTTCTGGATTCCTGAAGTTATTTTTCAGTAATATTTGAGATTATTGGTTCTTGACATGACTTAGTTTGGCTTAGCTCATCACGATAACATAGCCCCTAGCTATTTCTCTACTATAATACTTTTATTTCTTAATACTTTACCAGTTTCTTGACTACACTACAACTAATCTATCGGTTAATTTAGAAAATTCTACAACAAATCTTCCTCAATTTAATACAACTGCTTGGTAAATGAGTGATTCTTTAAGGTGGCATGTTGTGTGTAATTTGGCAGTTTAGATTTAAAACAGATCAAGCAGAAAATGAAACATTATTCAGAGAATGCTCAAGAAATTCAACTATTTAATCGCAAAACTAATTTGTTTACATCCTTTGTTCAGTGGTGACTACCAGTTCAAAAGTACTGGTCAGGGCATAAGAGATGTGGCCTTGCCTTGAGGAAACTAACATCTCTTTTATCTAAAGGCATCCATGACTGTATTGTCTCTTCAAAATGTCTGAAAATATTACAAAAGTCTATTGTGTTTCCCTTAAGCAGGTAAATTTTGCATTGGGAACCGGAATAAAAAAAATATACATAATGGTGATTTTCAAACTGGCCAATCAACATGCTAGCCCAGTGTCATTTATAGGTTTTGTTTTGAAGGTATGAACACATGCACTAGACTTGTGAATGTAATGTACATGCAACCCCTCTGGTATGAAATGGTTTGAAGATTGGCTAAATTACACTGTCACATAAGCTATTTGGATAAATTAAACAAAGGTCCCAACTACTGACAAGGGTGTATTGTTTTTTGTTTTGATGCCATAATTGTTGACAAAGCTATAATACTGCCCCAAAAACAGTATGGTTGGAGATTAACCGGATAGTGTTATTCTAATTGAAATTTATAAGTGATGACTCACTTTATATTGGTGTTAAATTTGAGTCTTAACTCACATTTCAAATTCTCTTGATTGCAATTTTTTTGTGCAGCTGGATTGAAAATTAAAAAATCTCATCACTTTTTCCTACAATTTCCTCACATAAAGATTGAGAATTGTTTCCTTTGCATTTTAATCATTTCTTTTTTGTGGGCTTACATTTTGTTGATTTAAAGGGATTGTAAAGAGGTTTTCTAACATTCTTTTTATATGTATTGGGGACACATTTGACTTTTATTTTGGACATTCCAATTCTCGTCCGGTGCCTGCAGTTCCTGCAATTCCAGAAAGAGTTAACTGGAAATTACCCAGTTCTCAAAAAAGAATTTGTAACCAACCTACCACAAGGTCACATAACATGATAATATATGTTATCTCCCCTTACAAGATGACGGCATTTCTATCTGTAAATTAACTGATCATTCACGTTTTGGGTCACCGTTGCCTTATATAAATCTTAACTTATTCATGGATTGCATAGATCTATATGTCAACATGAAATTTTCTTCAGATTCAACATAACAGGATAAAAGTGTTCTTGAAATATTTTGTTCCCCTACGAGATTAGGGATTGGTTGAATTAATCAAACCAGAGTGCATGTGGTCTATGTGGCATGAATTATAATTATTTCACAATATTTAACATTTGATATTTTACTATTTTGTGATTGATGTAAACAAGCTCTGAAAATAAAGGGCAAAGAGGAAGAAATGTCACCTAAATACTATAAATACATGTGAAGTAATACCAAATCAAATGGTCTTGACAGATTGCATATATTCATAGAATTCCTTCCTAATAGCTGTTCTAATAAGCTTACACATCATGAAAGACCCTTTTCAAACTTGTAGTCTTTAGTTTGATAATCTTTACCGGGTAATTTTTAAAACGGACTTAATTAGACCATTCAGAAACATTGCAATAGGTGACAAGACTTTACAAACATTAAAAAACATTTCAATACATTTCTTTTCAAACTTTGTGAATGACAGCTCTTTATTTCATTTTAAATAACATTTTGAAGGATTCTTACACACCACATTTTTTAACTTTCATTGATCTTTTCAAAATTACTGTTAATCTGTTAAAAAACACATGGAAGGTTTTACCATGTAAAGTTAGTTTCAAGTATTCATGATGAAGGTTTTACATCTCTTAAGCTAAAGAGAACAGATCAAAGCTCAGGGTATCCAAATAAAATGTACACATTATTCTAGTCTGGTAGAGTTAAAAATACAGGTACAAAAGTAGCATTAGCAACAGACATGCACCAGCTGTCAGCAGTATTGTAATTTACATCCTGCCTTGAGCATTGGTAAAATATAAGGAATTACTAACGTAAGGAAATGGTCCGTTCAAAATGAACAATTTGTTGCAGTAAGTATTATTAATTCTCATACTTAGTTTTTATAAATAAAAGTGTTTATGAGAATAGAATATTAAAGATGACTCCTAGCTAGATATTTGTAGCTGAAATGGAGATGCAACAATTTGTCAACAATTCTTTAAAAATTCAGTCTGGATCTTCATATACGGCTTTCAAGTTGAACTCAACTGTTTCTCACCAAATCTTTAAACATGGAAGTCATTTCTTTGTAAAGTCACTTTGAACTATGGAATCATCCTCTCAATTAATTATATGACTCCTTTGACAGTTAAAGACATCTATTTTGCAATTTTTCAAATCGTTGAAATATTGGCTTAGAAAAATTTTCAATTTGAAGAGGCTTAGTGAATGATGCTAAATGACTTTGATTCGGCAATTACAAACTTCCCATTATGCCAAGAATATGATGGAAAATCTGATAATTCCGAAAGTGACTTGCGACAAAGGACATTAATTGGACAATCCAGCACATCAGACCAAATTGGCAATATTTGTCCGATGACTAAGACACCCTTCCGCATCAGAATTGGACATTGCAATACACACAAGACTTCATTTTCTCATTCATCATCTTAGCTTGATAGAACAAAGAAAGTCAAGGAATTTGGAGAAGATAGTTATCGTGCCTTAATTAAAGATTCCTTGTCTTGTCGGGTAGAAATTATCGTCAACCAACTGTATGACTGCCTTTGTTCTCATTACACAGGTCGTGACAATTCATAGTTCAGTGCTAAATCCTTTCATCTTTATCATTTACAACATTTATTTATCTTTTAACCAGAAAAACTAAAAACAGAAATCAATAGATTTTGATTAAAATTCTTGTAGAATTTCTTCACGTTGAACAAGTTCTCAAATAGCTTCTTGGCAGAATTGAGTCAATGTCTAAAAAAGCCACCAAACAATAAACTGGAAAAATATAATTATCTGATTTCAGTCTCTTAAAAACCAGTTTCTTAAATAACAACAAAAATACAGCATTTTTAAACTCATAAGGTATGATGTTCTGTTTTCTAGTGTGCAATAGACTTTTAAGGAATTTATTACAGAATAGTCAATGAAATAGTGACAGAACGGTACAGATTCTTACTCAGCAAGCATGAGACGGTTAACCCAGTTTCCCCTACCTGGTGTGACTGGTATGAAGAAGGCCGAGTGTGCATGATTACTTGGCAGATGCAAATCATACAAGGGTTTGTACTGGCCATATGTTCCTTGTTGCAATGTGTTGCCCGTCTTATAAGACAAACAGCAGTAGAATTTATTTCAAACAGTGA